TTTTTTCGTCAGTGGCAACCCTGGTCACATTCTTCTGCCTTTAGGTATCTTTCTCCTCAGTTTAGATACATTTTGAAAACTTCATTTTCCATCCCTGCTCGGTAGTCGACCTGCCTCACGTTGTATACATACACAACAACAGCATTACCAAGGAAATTGAGCAAACAATTCAAGGTGCGAGTTAAAAATCGTGCCGCCACAGAGTTGAAAACAAAGCAAAAGCAAATACATATGTATTTGTTGTGTGTAATCTCTTACATAGTATGTATGTATGTATGTATGTACTCGAAAGAAATAGCAACGAACAACTCACGTTTTTAGAAAATTATTTTGCCAAAAATTTGCTTAATCTCTTTATTTTTAAAATAGACGTTTTAGCCTTTCTCGCAAGTGCTTTTAAATCGTTTCAATACATATATTTTCAAGATTTGGCCACAAGTTTTCTTCAAATATTTCTTAAGGTCTTAAACCTGAACTAACCAAATATTGGGCCGTATGCATAAAGTTAAAGCAATTGGATTTTCTTATAATTTCAGAGCTTTCACTTAAATTTATTTGAATAAATTGAGTAAAATGTCTGAAATTTTAAGAAAATGCATTTGCTTAGTTTTTAATCTCACAGCCCATTAACTAAGTTCATTATACAGGGTGGGCCAAATAAGACCTACCAATGTTAAACTTGCTTAACTTATTTAATATTTTGATGTCGGATGAAGCGCATCAACAAGCAAAACGGTAGATGATTGTGGGCCTCTGAAAATCCAAGGACAGCACATCAGCACCCAGTTATGCAGTTATGGTCGAAAAAGATATCGATCGGCCCATATTTCTTCGAGAATGCGGACAATGATTGACAAATTTTTGCGGCCAACGGCAGAGCAGCATCCTAATTTGCGGTTCCAACAAGATGGAGCGACTGCCGGCACACTGCTGGGCAAACTATGGACCTGCTGCGTGAAATTGGCGGGTCTTATTTGGCCCACCCTGTATAATAAATAAATATTTCTGTAGGTATTTGCTTAGTGAACCAAAAAATATTTTTCTTACCCTGCTGCTCAGCGATACTCGTCACTTTGGAAGTTTAAAAACTCATTCGAATCACTTCGATTACATTTTTAAACACAAATTTTCGTTTTCCCCTCCTCTTTTCTGTGTATCGATTCCCTTTATTAGTTTTGATAAAATTTTTATTTTGGGCCTTTCTGGATATACATATTGAAACAAGCCTGCCAATAGCCGAGGTCAGTTCAATCAACAACCCGTGCAGCAGAAAATTGCAAACGTACAATACTATTTACTACAGAAAAAAGGCTATTTACAGTGAAAAGTAAAGAACGTGGTGGCTGGCATCAGGCAAAAGAACAACGACGCGGCAGACTGATCTATAACATGACACGGTTCTTTACATTATGGAACAGTCCGAAGGATGGTGTAGTCCGAAAATCGGATAAGGTTTCCAAGTATTTGCTAGACGTCAATGAAGCATTCAAAATGTGAGTAGCGTTATTTAGCTCGGATATGTGTGTATGTATGTACTAGCTTCTTTAAAGGGTGTTTATTTCCATCAGCATGTTGAACAATTGCAGCTGGTTTATTTACGTCACAGCCGCTCTTCTCATCAGTTGTTGTATATATTATTACGCATACGACTGCAAGCGCCGTTTGGAGTTAAGACGAAGGCGACGGGAAGTGCAACGCACCAATGAAAGGTGATTTGTGATGCACACATTCCAATAGCTCAATATGTAGTTCATGCCTTACATTAATTTTTAGGGTGCCGCAAAGGAGGCGTCCGGGCGCCGCGTATAGGGACCACGAGGTTTTCCGAAACGTTTTGCGCACAGTTCGGCAATATATTGGTCACTCGGAAGGCAAAAATCAAACCAAACCATACATGCTGCGCCGCACACGGAGTGGTGCCGTCTACGGACGATTCGTCGACCGGGAAGGTGGTGGCACATAGATATCGTCCTGGACATGTTTAAACATGTCGAACATGTTTGAAGCTTGAAATGCCTTCCCTTTTATTTGGCTGATAGCATTCAAGTGGCACTGTAAAGGCTTAAAGGATCTCAATAAAAAAAATGCCACACACGTTATCGTACCCCTGAAACTGAAACAATACAATTGGTTTTACTTTTCGGCGTCACACACAGGACCTTTAGCGCCTATTGATCTTTTCACGGGTAAAAACTCTCTGGTCAATACGGATCTGTGCAAGTGAATCCATTTGCTCCTTAATTAGAAAGATTTTTGGGTGGACGGTAGACACAAAATCGGTATTTGAACGATTTCGCCTGACTATCGCGAAGGAGCTCTTAAACGATGTAGGTACTTAACGGTTGGGTGACATAAGGTCAATGACCGCGCCCCCTTTGCCTTTGCACTCGAATTGAATCGTTATCGGAACATATATAGTATAGGGCTAAGCTGGCCGTAGATCCCGGTTAAGTTGCCCGTTTGGGCCAGTTCATAGCTAATCGACAACGAAAATCTTCGTTAGAAGTTGTCGCAAGTGACCTGAGGGAAATGGGCCGATTTTTTTTTTTTGCGTATTAGCTATGATTTGCAGATGTCACGACGACTTCCGTATTATGTATTATTCGTGGCACTACTAACATGCAGATTGCAAAGAAAACGGTGCAAGGAAGCCGAAAATATCCGAGGTAGAAGGACGAAAAATTATCTCTTGTAAATTATCTGGGTGCAAAATTGAGTCAATGTGTTAATTTGCAAAAATTGATGGCTATATTCTAATATATGTATATCAAAAAATTCATAACAATTTTGTCAAAGAACTACCGAAAAATCATAAATTGTGATTTTTTTTATTATTGACCCAGTCAGTTTAAATTACGGTAGATCTATCCCAAATGTGAAAACACTGACATAAAGGTAGTTTTGTTTAAAAAAAAAATCTCGTATTAGCCTTGAGCTTGCGGATTATTATCTTTCGTAGATTGTCCTCTTATGAAAGTTTCGTTACTATGCAGAAACTTCGTCGACTGGGAAATTTAATTTACAGCCGAAACACACATTCATATAAAACCTGCTACACGTCCTGTCGGGAATGCACAAAATTTAATTTAGAGGTTATTCAGGACAGTCACGAGCGAAATACATAATATGTACATTAGGGTGGTCCAAAAATGCAAGTGAAAAAGTAAAGTCGGAATTTTTATGCTCTCACCCCCTAGAATCGTTCTATACCGAAAAAATATACCCTTATTTTTTATTTTGAAATCAAAAAATATTTAGAGGTCGCTCGAGCGCCCAAAGTTTTCCATGCATTTTATATGGGAAAAAAACAACTTTTCGTAGAAATGGTATAGAATAGTTAAAAATCAATATTTTTCTACCAGAAAACTCTGTTTATCTGCAGGAGATTCCCAATAACACTACCCAAATGTTTAATTAACCATTTTTTAATTGCAACTATAATTTATAGGTTCGCCCAAAATCCCGCAAAATGCAATGGGGCGGCCAATAAAAAATCGCTAGTATTAAAAAATGGTTAAATAAACAATTGGGTATTATTACTGAAAGTCTCCTGAAGAGAACCAGAGTTTTCCGATCGAAAAACATTGATTTTCAAGAATTCATTATACCATTTCTACGAAAAAATTTATGTTTCCTTTATGTGGGAAATATTGGTATTTTAGAATTCTACACCATTTCGACGAAAAGGTTTTTTTCCCATATAAAATACATGGAACACTTTGAGCGCTTTGAGCGACCTCTAAATATTTTTTTATTTCAAAATAAAAAATAGCGGTATACTCTTTTTCGATTTTTATCGAGCTCGAGGCCGTATTTAATTAAAAATTATTGTGGAAAATAAACAATTAAAAAAAAAAATGGTAGAAGTGACAGCTATTTCGGGAATCACTACATTTCCTCATCAGGCCATAAAATATCAAAAACCAAATAACTTAAGGACGAGCATACCTAAAAGATAAAAATTCTAAAAATATAGAATTATTAACAAAAACCAACAACCACATGGTCAAGTTTAAATAGCACTGGAATAGCTGCACCTGATTGTAGTTGGCTTCACAAATGAAAAAGTGGAAAAAAGCAACAAGAATTTACAAGGCGAACTTAGCACGGTGCGTAGGCAACTGGCTGATTCAGCTGGGATCGTTGGATCCAATCCCACTGAAAGAAGTCTGATGAGGAAATGTGGTGATTTCCGAAATAGCTGTCACTTCTACCATTTTTTCAAAATTATTATTGCTTTTCCACAATAATTTTTCATTAAAAACGGCCTCG